GGACACTCCTTCACCTCATGCATCAGGGCTGAAGCAAAAAACACCCCCAACACCGATGTCCTTCGAAGAAAAAAAGACTGCGCCCCCCCGCACCCTTCGCGAGATCAACACATCGACAGCCCACCCCACGGAAGTTGGGGGGGGCTTCTGGAAGAACCGTCCCGACCGGGGAGTGTCTCGGCGCTGCGGCCGGCGTTCCTCCTCCGCGTTCAGCACGGAGGTCGTCACCTGAGGAGCGTCGACTGGACCAGCGCCGACGGCCGAGGAGCGTGGAAGAGGCACATCGGTTGTTCGGGGGGTCGACCAGGTGGAGGAAGGACAGAGAACTACAATTAGCAAGAAGGAAGACTGCACATCGCCATTCTGGTCAGGTAAAGAATGCTTTGGAATGGTTTTTGGTCAAGTCTTGCGGCTTCTTTGGGTAAGCATGGGGCATGTCACTCACAATCGGGTCAGGGAAAGTGAGAGCGCATGTTCATTTCAACGATGCAGAGTCATGACAGTCATGACAACAAGCTCAACGCAGCTGTGTCTCTTGAGTACAAACACCCTAACCGCCAATCACCCTCCACTGCCAGCAGAATAAATACCAGTGATGTCTCCGATTTCTCCGCCTACACCAACCTCATGAGGCGGCCTGTGTCTTCATCTACACCTCCCTTCGCCTCCCTCTTCCCCATCGTGTCCATTTGTGTACCACAAACAGGACCAACAGAGGTTGAATGACCATCATAGCTACCCCAGGTTTTCCGGGTCCTATGGTCCCGGTCACTGGCTACCTCTCTTGGGACATCAGGATCCGAAAACCTTCTTCCGCTCCCAAACCGAGCGGAGCGAGCGGCTCCGGCGCGGCGGAAGTCCGGCGCACCTCGTCCCCTGCGATCTGAAGGAAGGACGAGGCCTCCAGAGCGTCGAGGCTCGACGATGCCAAGTGCAGAGTGCCAAGTGCTCCAGATGCGACCACGGGCGGCACGAGTCTCCCGTGGTTGGAAAACGCAGGGGGGGAAGATGAATGAACATGAATGAAAATGATCCCGAACTATGTCATTACTGTACATCTATATGTATACCACCGTAGACCCCAGATTTGAGTGCCTTCTGTTATGATTACAAAAACAAGAGACGTGGGGCCCACGGATTTGGGGTGGTGGGTGATCCGAAGGTCGTTGGGTGGGTGATGCCGAGCGAGTACCCGGTGCTACGAGTACCCGGAACCGCTCGGACCGAGTTCGGTTCCCCGGACTACTGGACTGGACAGATGGACTCATGGAGTGAGGCGAGTGGATGAATCATCTCACCGCGCCCCAGTTGGATTCTCACCAGTGGATGAATCATCTCCCAACGAAGTTGATCAGTTGAGAGGAAAAACCAGTGAAGCTCCACCTGTTCACCTATCCACACACGGTAAGGGTGTGCAATAGGAAGACGCCCCAGCTACTTCTCGCCCCAGGCGACGGGAAGACGGTCTCACTGGACCCTCGGCCCCGTTCATCCGGGACACGCGATCTCCATCGTTCTCCAGGAGCTCACGCACACTGCAGGCGGTACCAAGCCTCGTCGGGTCATGAGCAAAAGAGCGAGAAAGAGCTCATGGCATTGTAAAACCTGATCATCTCATCTATCTTATTATGTACATTAATTGATTTACAAGTACATGTACGTATATCATGTGTCTTCAGATGGAGGGCGTCCATTCATCAAGAGTCTACAGTAGGCGAGTAAGCACCAGGACGCACGCCCAGCGTGTCCTTCGATGAGTCGAAGCTGTGTCCCAGCTTTCGGGGGGTCGGCCGAAACAGAAGCAACTCATAGAGTGTTTACACAAACAACGACCGAAACTTCCAAGAGAGGTTAGGGGTACCCAACTCGGATAGACTATATGTCAGAGGGGTCCTGATTCAGCACCAGGACCCACCAAGGGGATGGTTCGACACAGATGGACACCATCCTTAAGCTCTGGCATCGGGGCATCCTTAAGCTCAACACCCCAAACAGCCCCAGCTGCACATGCTGCATACTCCTCTGTTGCCCGGAAGAGATTTTTACGGCATGTTCCCTTGCAGGACTTGTTTCATAATTCGTACAGTTCATGTCCTGTTCCACCTATCTTCGACTATAAGACTTGAAGCAAAAGTTTTTCCATTGCAGCACTACAGGATCCCATGGTAGAACTCCAAAGTGGCCAAGTTGCAGCACAACGGCCAGCGCCCAGCGCATGAGAGCCGCCCTGAGGATGGCAACATGGGAAAACTGTGCGGGGCTTGCCCGAAATCGCAAACAACAAGTGTATATACAAGTCTTGAGTATCAGAGTATCAATGATAACGTTATTGCTTTTCTCCGTGACTGCCCGACGCTTGAGATGAAAACGCGTCAAAACCATCTTCGACCTCCCTCGGGCCCCTCCTTTTTGTCCGTCGCTTCCGCCGCCCGATCATCGCCCGAAGAACCTGGCCTCCAAAAAGGTGCGAAGGCCTTCGAAGAAACCCGTCCGCCCCGGCGTGTCGCGCTTCCTCCGCGGGTTCCGCGGTAGGGGGTCGGACGGGAAAGGACCTGGATGACCGGTGCAGTCTGCACCCAACTTGGGCCCGAGATCACCGGCGCGCCGAAGGTGGCCACAGTGGGAGCCGAGGGTTGCGAGCGGGTGAGGGGAGCTTCTTCCCGCCGAGTTTGGCTCCAAGAAGTCGCCAGATCTCAGACTCTGTTCAAGACCTCTAGGGGGGTACCAGTGCCACAGACGCTGCTCGGAGAGCAGATGGATTTGACTTGGAGAAGATGGATTGGACCAACCAACCGAGGTTGAATGACGCTAGACACTAGACTATCCCAGTTGGGTACACCACTACGGTCTTTTAAGGTCGCTAGTAACCTCTCTTGGAATGCCAGTGCCAAGTTCACGACTCAACACCTCTTCAGGTGTCTCAACCGCTGCATTTTGGAGCACCAACCATCCAAAAAGTCACAACCTGTTCCGTCAAAAGAATGATCCAAATAGAGCCATCCTAGAGCCCAGATGAGTGCCCTCTGGTTTGGATGGGAAGGGAAGGATCGGGGGCGCGAGCATGGCGCACACTGTGGTCGCCTGGCGTCCCATTTTGCCGCCCGCGTGGCGCTTCGCCCCTGGCCCCGCCACATTTCAGCAGGTGCCAGGTGGTGCTGCGCTGACTCGTGGCTGCGAGCGAACTCCGGCGGTGGGCCCCCAGCGAGTCTCATGTCACCCTCAAGCTGTGCATACATGCATGCAGGGGCGACGACTGGAAAGGAGACCCCAAAAAAATAGAGCGCGCAGCGCGATTGAAACAGGTTTCTCTTGAGACCGCCGGTGCCGGCCAACGAAGCGGACATTTGTACATGAGGGGGTCCTGGGCCGCTCCGAGAACCCCTGGAACTGGAAGAGTGCTCAGGCTTCTCCAAGCAACAACCATGAGAGGTTAAGCGACCGTAAATAGGACCCGTCACCTGGCGTACCCAACTGGGATAGTCGAACGTTCGGGTCATTCAACCTCTGTTGGAAACACACGCACGTTCTCCGAGAAGCGAACGAGAATTCCAACAGCTCAACTTCACCCCGAGCTCTGCACTTCCATCCGTGCCCCGTCGGTGCCCCGTGCGCATGTTCAACCACGGCACCGATCCTCCCCCCCACCGTCTCCACAGACCGCCCACCGCTACCGCCCACCGCGGGCTTCGCTCAGTGCACCAAGGAGTGGAGACTCCGGCTCTCGCGTGCCTCCTGCACAGGTCCAGTCGTTGCCAACTCCGGCGATGAGGGGCGGCGTCAGGCGATGGGGGGGGCGGTGTGCCCCTCCTTGGGTGCACTCCTTGGGTGCCACAAACCTATACAAAGCTTTCCCCCCCCCCCCAAAAGAAAAAAAAGGAAGTTGAGCTTCCTACCAAATGAAATGTCTTCAAATATGAGATGTTCTGGGAGCTGTGCTAGTTCCTTTTGCTTGGCCACTCACATCCACATCATCCACCAAACGCCCAAAGCCACCTGACCGCCCGATCCGGTCCGCCGGTCCGCAATCCGGATGGCTGGATCCCTTGGGTTGGTGGCCTCCACCTCCGCCTTGACGATGGAGAAGCGCTTCCGTGGCGCAGCCCCACTGGCGCGAGGGGGGCAGGAGGGGGAGGTGGAAAAGAAGGCCTGGAGCATTCGTGGTCTGAAGAGGGTCCATTGTATGGGGAAAGAAGGCCAGGAGCCCAAGTGTCCTATGGCAAGGACAAATTTAGTGACCAATTGGGTGGGAGAAAGAAGGAAAAGGAGCTGATTGGTTTGGACCATTCAAGGGAAAATGCTGCCAATTACCTAGGTGGTCTCCGGTGAAACAGCTGCGGAATATGTTTTCACGCCCATCGCACACAACCCAACGGCTGGAGGCCATTCTTCTGATGTGTGTGCTTCTGATTGATGGCTCGCTTGTGGCTCTACCCTGGCTCTACCGCCATGATTCCTGGCATCCAAAACCCTTCAAAAGCTTTTAAATATGCTTTTGGGTTTTTTTTGGTTGATTGTTTGAAACAGCCTCTGACGCTCAGGTAATGTCATAAATATAGCCCTTCTCAACCTCCGCACCCACCCGAGAAGACGCGGTTGAGATGTCCCTGTCGCCTGTCCGACTTCTGCACCGGCCCATCGACCATGTTCTTCAGTCCAGCGCCAAAGCCGATGAGACCGGCACTCATCCTGGCTGTCTCAGCCACCGGAAGGCGAGTGGAGAGCTCGCTGAGCTCGCTGGCATTGTTCAGGGGGAAAAAAGCACCACAGAGCCCCCGCAAGGGGTCTAGACGTTCCGAACCTGAACCCTTCCACCGGGCCGTGGTAGTGAGGTTTCCACCCCGGAGAGAGAGACATTCCAAACGTCCACCAACCAGTGGAGGCCAGAGGCCACGCTCTATCTCTGGACTTAGGTCTTCCAACTGTGCAAAAATGCCCTGCCCTCGGAAGGATCCCAGGTGCGAGGCTCGCCGATTGGAAGATGCCACGCCGCCGCCTTTTTTCTCTGCGGATCGCCCCTGGCTCGGCTCTTCTTCCGCCCGGTCGTCGTTCACAACTTGGGCGACCTCGCTGCGCCGGGCTTTCGTGGGCAAAACAATCAAACAAGAGAGGTGATTATATAAGTGACCTGAAATAGGACTCTGGTGCGGTACCTATGGGATAGTCTTTTTGGGCAACCTCTGTTGGCTTGAAGCTCCAACTTCAGGAAGCCCAAGGGATGCCAAGTTGAGTCCCAGGCAGGCACTTCTGGAGCCTCTGACCATTGAAAAATGGACGCCTTGGAAGAGGGTTCATGTTGGCCTGCCCGAGGACTTCCTGCGATGCCAGGCCTAATCACGGGCATCTAGGCGGAGCCTAGGCGATCAAGAAAGCCCCCACTCCTGGTGTCCACCTGCAGGCAGGAGGCTCTGGAGGTTTCTGCTCCTTTTCCTGGGAGGCGTCACCTCTCGCGGGTGTCGGGTCGGAAGAGCGAAGAGCGAAGGAACCGATTCAAGACGAGAAGCGGGCTCCGTTTTCGGACCTCCTCAGGTCCGGTATGACTGGACCCGACAATGGCACCCGGGCCCCAAAAGTCCCACCTTCTAACAAGGTATGACTGGAGCTCGAGGACCCTAGGCGATGGAACAAGCGCGGGTTCTTCATGTTTCTCCATTTTCACCTGTGAGGCGGGGCATCTTCAACGAGCTGGTCTTCAACATGAGTTCAAGGAATCGACTCCGAAAAAAAAAAAAAAAAAAAAAGCTGAAACCCAACCACTACTGAGCAACCCAACCAAAATTAGAAGAGACCGCAACCAGCGATGGCTTTGGCCTCTACAATCCCTCTACACACCTGGACCCTGAATGACCTCTATTTTGGACCACCAACCACCCCCCCAAATATGGTCTTGTCATGTCTTTTCGTATCAAAACAGAGGTCAATTGGGTTCCAGGTATTATAGAACATAGATTTCACCATCAGATCTCCACTCAGGTGGTCACCGCTTTGGCCTCACATTTCGCCGGGCCTCGCCTGGCGCAGTGGTGTTCCCCTCCTTTGCATGCCGCATGGCTGCCTGCACGACCGGGTGCCGTTGAGCAAAAGCCGAGCCGCAACAAGCCAGAGGAACCCTCTGCAGAAACCTCTAGTGAACTGCCTGCTGCCAGGGCCTCCCCCATTTCAGGATCATAAGCGGGGTGGTTCATGGACACCCCCCCAACCTGAGACCCCCCAGTTTCTGGAAAACCGTGCTAGATGCTTCGATGGGGGCTGCAGGTCCAGGCGCGACATCGAAGCGATCAAGGCACCTGTGCGTTCGCCAGGGGTGAGTACCTGGGCGTCTGGTGCAACCATCAGGGCTGTCGCCCCGCAAAATCCAGCGGCTTCCGGGGGGGATTTAGGAAGATGAAAGCAGAATGTGGTTGCTCTCATGGCTGTAGCACTCAGAAAATGTCAAACGGTCCAGGGACCATAGCATCTCGTGATCTACGACCATCGTGGGTGCTCTCTGCTCCTCCTATCGCCTCGGCCAAGGCACTTTTCGCCCTCCGACTCCGCCAGGCTCTTCAGCAACTCCTGGAGGCCAAAATCTCCAAAAATCTAGGGATCTAGGCTGGCTGCCAAGTGGTGGCAAAAGCAATTTGATGAGCCTCAGTGATTAATGCTCATGAAGAATGTTGATTAAGAAAAACCCCCACATATATGTGTAAAACGCTGTAGCAGAGGCCGCTTGCACAAACAGGTGGGGGAAACTTTGGAAGTTTAAACCATATATCATGTGCAATAACCAATCATTCCAAGACCTACTCATGTGATTGAACCCTGATCTCTTGTTTTGAAAGGAGTGAGCACACATGCATTCTAACGGTTGGTTCCTGGGCGACTGTTGGTAAGCCCAAATTTCAAAAACCAGGAAGCACCTGTTGGAGGGTGCTGGTATATGATGAGAAGGTTTGTGCAGTCCAACGCGGAATGGTTTTAAGATCAAGATTCTACATTACTTGTTGGAGACCATGCCCTACACAGGCCCGCGCAAAATATCTCCACTACACCTCAGGATCTCCTTCTTTCCGCCACCGCTAGCCCACCCTCCCAAAGCTCCGGCGTCCTCCTGCCATCTATATGATTTCTGCGAGACCACATCCAACGTCTCGTCGAGCTTCTTCAGCCGTTGATCCTTAAAAAGGCGCGCGATGTGCTTGGCACGTCCAGAACAGCTGGAAATGCATGTCTTCCGCTGAAGCGTCACGGGTTCCGAATCACGGCTTCAACCCTGCCATGTGGGGGACCTCCCCCTCTTACAAAACAAAAAAATCTGCGGTATCTCATTTACAGCGGTTCAATGTGGTTGATGATGGCTAGTAAGGCCCTTCTCCAAAAGAAATGATACAGTGTCGTTCCCAGAGTAGATGGCACTGGCACCCCAAGATGTCATTGGTATAGGGGTCCATATCACCCACCAAACTTGGATAAACTTGGGGTAACTTGCGCCATCTTCTCTGACACTGGCCGTCTGGGCCACACCCGAATCCGATGCCTGGGTTCGCGTCATCCATCGTGTCATCCCGATAAGTCGCCCGCGATATGCCTGCAAAATCCATTCCATAGCGAAGGTGGCGGACATGGCTATGGGCCAGAACCCTGGTTGACCCAGAATGAACAGAATAGACTATCAGACATGGTCAGGCGACCAGTGTGAGTTACGGGCCTCCGGTTTTGGGACCCACCGCCTGGCGTGAAACGCCACACAGGAAAGACCCCACAAGAACCGCTCACAGCTCCCACGATGGGAACTATCACAGCATCAGACAAAAGGATCAAAAGGTATAGCTCCTTCTGGCCAAGAACCCTTCCACGACTTCAGAAGAACCTCACCAAAAACCTGACTGGTACGGACTCGCAGGGCAGTTTCTACGGCTCGTTTCGGCCTCCAAGAGAGATTCCATTGGATCCACCCACTCCGGTTTAGACGGTGAGTAGGGACCTTTGGTGTCAGGTCACCCTCCCCCCAAAAAATAATGGTAAAACCACAGGAAAGACATGGAACGACTTTACCCTTGTGACTCTCAAAAGGAAGCTGATCAACCCCCACGGCCAGGTCACGTATTTGGAAAAGTCCTTATCCACCTCCGTCGACTTCGCCTCAGAGCGTGGTGCGTCGGCACCGGCGAGCCGCGAGGGTTCGGGGGCGCCTTTTGGAGTGGTGTCCCTTTGCTCCTAGCTATAGCAAGAGAGGTAGCCAGTGACCTGAAATAGGACCCGGAAAATTTGGGGGTACCCAACTGCGATAGGCGAACGTGAAGGAGTCCTGAAAAACCTCTGTTAGTAGCTCCTTGCTCCCTTCAAGTCGCGATGCCAGGAGCCCCTACTGTAGTAGCGAACTTCTTGCTCCGTTCGTAGCGAGGCCCAAAATGCTTCGTTTGTAGCTTTTGGTTGGAGTGTAGCTTTTGGAGGCCATGTTCTCAGAGGCCATGTTGGCGGTGAACTCTGGGGGCTTCTATTCAGGAACAAAGCCTTCTTGTTAGGTTTTTCACCGCTCTTTTCTTGCCTTCCCTTTAAATCCTGCAGCTAACCATTCTAAACTGGTCCCAGTTCAGGTCTCTCAACGGCGATGGGGATCCTCCGTCTTGGGGGCGAGGTGGCAGTGTGACAAGGTGATCGCCTTTGACCACTCCCAGCGACCATCGCATGGAGAAGGTGGAGTTGGTTGCTGGGAGGTGCACCTCCTCCCGTGAACGTCTGCCCAGGCTCTGTCGCATGGTCCGTGGCAGCTTTCACTTCTCCCACCTGCGGTGTCTCTGATGGAAACACAGGGAAGGGCCACAGGTTGGGGATGCAGGGAACGCAACTACGAGCCCCATGCACCAAGAGCATCAGCACAATGCTGGGATGGTAGCCACTACAATCCCCAAAGGAACTAGGGATATCTAGACCCCCCGCTTGCACCGTGATTATCAGAAAAGGAATTGCAGACCTTTGTCTTCAAGTGGTCTGCGGCTGCCACTTCAAAAGGCTTTCCCGCCCAACCTGGTGACCTAATCCGACCATACTCACTTTGAATGGTGCAACCACTAATTTACACCACCAACCGCTCAAAATATGATCTTCTCCCATCAAAACAGTGGTCAAATGGGCGCTAGGTATTTATGATATGTCTGCGGAATCATCTGCCATAGGTGCAGTGACCAAGGCCTTCTCTTCGATCTGCTTCGAGTTCTCAGAAGCCTTTTGAAAGGCTTCTTTGCCTCCTACGTTCTTCTCCTGCCAACCAGCAGTCACCAAATAGGCAACGCATGTGTGCATATATATATATATATAAATATATATATAACTCATTGCACACAACATATACATATATATATACATACATACATACATGCATGCATTGCATTGCATTGCATTGCATTGCATTGCATTACATTACATTACATTACATTACATTACATACATACATACATATGTACATATACATATGCATATAATTGTATATACATAAACATGTAAAAACCATCAATCGCAAGCGTCCACAACCCACTTGAGTGCAATGAGAACCCGTCACAAGCGCAAGGAATGCAATGAAACATGGTCAGCACTCGTGGCATTAGAAAAATGAATCCAAGGTCCAAGCTGGCTCCCCCAGAACCATACCGAAGCAAGCAGCCTCCTCAGATGAAGTGCCATTGGTGCTGTTTGGCTTGGCCTGGCTCTGAAGCAGCTTCCAAGTGCTCCATCCAATTGCATAAACAGTCCATTGCATGGCTACTAGTAGCTTCTTATTACTAGTAGCAATGGCCTCCAACCTACTTGCGATGGCCTCCACCTAATAACTAGTAGCCATCCATATGAGCCCAAAGTGGGGTCCTCAAACGTCGTGTTTTCTCTCCTTTCTGATGCCAAAGCCCAGCTCCCAGCCTCCTCGGTCGCTGAATGCTCAGTCAGATGCTCACCATGTTCAGCCTCTGCCAGGGCTTTTTTCCGCGTTTTCTTGAGATGTTCTGCATGTCAGTTCATGCAGGTTCTGCTTGTCCGTCAGCCACTGTGTGATACCTGATGCAAATGAAGTCTTATCCCCTTTCTTCAGGATCTGTGACACCCGCCTGCCAACCCTGTGCTACCAGGCTCAAATTCCCAAGGCCCACCTTCTCGCCATGCTCGCCGCCCTTCTCCGGGTCGCGCCGCACCGCTGCCGCGCTTCGTCGGGCCACGTGTTGCGCCGCCAGACGCCGCACGTGCCGCGCGGCGGGCGCCGTCCTGGCGGAGGACCATCGGATCTCCCAGTGGGACTTGATCAATCAATAGTGACCAGGAGTCACAAAGCTCGGGGTGGTTAGTCCGCGTCCGTGAGTGGAGAATGCCGACTTCCTCCATGGAGGGCACCCCGTCGAACGTGACTGCTGGGAAGTGCCTTTTGTTCCGACCTTGCATCTTCTACATCTGTTCGTTTTCGTGCAGCCTCCAGGGACTGCGCAGTCGCGAGATCCTCGACCTCTTCGATCGATCCCCCTCCCTTCAAAACCTCTCCCTCACCCTCTCCGTGCTCCTTGCAGCTCGCCTCCCCTCAAGGGTCTGATCAAGACCGACCTGGCAGTCTGGCGGCAGAAGGAGGGATGATGGCAGAAACGGCCACAGAAACGCCAGATTCCATGCACCGGCTGGACCGGGAGTAAAGAATCAGGTCTCAACTTGGGCAGACTCATCAACAACTCACTACAAAACATGTTCGAGTGAAAAGTGAAAACCATGTGCTGCCAAATTCCACTGACGGCCCTCATGATATCGATCCATGTCGATCTTCACACCCAGATCACCGCCTTCCGACCCCCCCACGAGGCGGCAGCGGTTTCCCTTGCCCTCCTCGCCTGAAAAATCTCATCCCGCACAGCATCCACGAGGGCCCAAGTGGCCAAAGTCACGGATATTCTCAGGAACATCGACCTGGGCTCTAACCACATGCCAGTCAATCGACTGAGGGGACTCCTAACCCCGAATGTCTTCTCAGATCGTGAAGCAATGCTGCAACGCCAATAATGATGGGCTGCATGTTGATCAGTCAGGCACTGCATGCCGTAGGCCCCTTAGAGAAGAGCATGCAGTGTCGTCTCATCTGGATGCCAAGGCGCTGTAGTTGATGGCCCTCAAGACATTAGGCCTGCTTTTCAATACACTTTCCGCCCAAACGCCCGCCAGAAGCCGGCGCACGCAGGCGGCTTGAGCCAGTCGTGTCGCAAGTGGAGCGTCTCCAGGAGACTTGAAAGGGTAGTTCTAGCAGAATGTATGCATGCCCGTGCGTTTGTGTGTGTGTGCGCCTCGGTTCAATACCAGTTGGCAAGAACAACCCTTTTTCAGAACTCAACTGTTGTGGGCTTCGGGTAAATTGCGTCAGTAATCAGGGTTTTCTGCGACAGTACTTTGTTTCAGGGCTTTTTGCGACAGCTCTGGGGAAGGTGTTTATTGCAACAGTTCCACGGGTGTTTTTTCACACGGTGAGCCCGGAACCGGTGTTTTTGTGGACGTCTGCACGGTGTTGTTTGCTACGGTGGTGTTTTTTGCGTCAGTGAGCGGTGTTTTTTGCGACAGTGGGCAGCCCACAAGTCGTCGGAGCGTACGCGAGGTGTTTTTTGCGACGGCGGTGTTTTTTTGCATCAGTGAGCGGTGTTTTTTGCAACAGTGGTCAGCCCACAACTCAGTGGCGCTGCGCCCTCCCCCCCGAGCCCCCCCTCCCGCTCTTTTTTTTCTATACCGTTATGCGGACCGCTGCCGAGGATGCTGTGGCGGTTGTCATTTTGGTTGAAGCAGGCAGGCTGCAAAACTGAAGGACGTGCATGCTGCAGGATCATGTTGTGATGTTGCGTGCTGCTGCGCCCCCCCCGCCCGCGCTTGGACCGCGGCTTCCAGGAAGCTATGGCGCAAGCAAGTCATGCGCATGGGCGCTTGTCGTTTGTTGTAAAGCAGGCAAGCAGACGCGCTGGAAAACTGCAAGACGTGAATGGTGAAGGCTTATGTTGAAGGCTTATATGTTGGACTGCTGCTTGCTGCTGAAGCCTCCCGCCGGCAGGCTATGTCGCAGCACATTGGGCACGGCACCGCACTCTGTTGTCGCGCCGTAGACATCTTGGTTGTAGCAGGCATTGGAAAACTGCTAGATGTCCATGCTGAGAAGGAAGCTCGACTTGTGAGATGCGGTGAGCCTGCTTGCGGCTTCGGGGGAGAGGCGCTGTGCCCTCCCCAAAGCAGCGCTCGCATCAGCTCTTGCATACGGCGACGGAAAGAAGCTGTCGCAGAAAACACCGGTCAAACAAGCTGTCGCAGAAAACACCGGTCAACCGTTGCAAAAAACACCGGGCAACCGTCGCAAAAAACACCGGGTGGCGGTCACTGACGCAAAAAACACCGGTCACAGCTTGGAAAAACACCATACAACATAACTGTCTGGAAATACCCTGATTACTGTTGCAATTTACCCTAGTCCCCTTCCCTTGCTCTGCCCGGCCCCCCCTCATCCAGTGAGCCACACCTCCACTGAAACACACCTGAGCGCAGCTCTCGCGCCTGCGACCCTTGTTGGAGCCCTTGCCTTTAGCGCCCGCAGGGCCAGGCCTGAACGTGGAAAAAGCTGGGTGGCGTACTTTTCGGGAAGTGCGGATGGTGCGGATGAACCCTGAAGTGGAAAAATGGATGAAAGTGGCAGCCGTTTCTCTGCCTTGAGATCCTTCCAATGACTTTTTTCATCCACCAAGAACAAATGACGCATCACCTTTGAGTCTTAGCAGCTTAGCAGCTAGCACATCATGAGGACTGGAAAAAACATATTGGACCCAAGAATGGGTCCTGTCATCAGTCCGGTTTCGGTGGCCGGCTCGCGGCGGTCGGTTGATCCAGGTGCGCCTCATCACCGAGCCGCGCGCCCGTGTGCCGCGGTTGCTTCCGCCTTGCTGCATGGCCTGGAGACGGGTAGGCTGGATCTGACCTGGACCTCGCCTGGACCTCGCTGAGATGGTGGTCATGATGCCCCAAAAACCTGGGGGGCCGAAAATGAACAGAAAAAATAGACGACCTACACAAATTCAAGCTACCAGTGTTTGGGGTTTGACCCGCAGCCAGATGTTGAGAACATGGGCAGCTGCTGGGCTTCGTTGGCCAAGTGCTGCTCGCAGCCTCACCGGGAAACATGTGTTTAGTGCCCTCACAAGATCAGCAGGCCTGGGTCACGGGGTGCAGCGTTGGGATCAACGAAGAAGTCTCATTTTGAACAGCCTCTGGTGTGAGAACATGTTTGAACCAATGTTGCGTTCTGATCCCTTGAACGCCTACCTCCAGAGGTTGAGCAGCCCTACACTTCGCCGAACCCATATGCACCACTACACCCACTAGTTCGGGTCCCAGTTTCAGGTCTAACGGTCTAACTGTGACAGGTCAACACACTTGTCCCACATGGCTCACCAGGCGCCTTCCCAGCTTTGCCCCTTCGGCCACCTGCCTGGTCAGAGTCACTGAACTGCGACGCGGCGCCACCTGCGCCGTCGCGAGACCCGTCGGGTCGGTAAGGCCGCCCCATCACGGTGACCCGAAGAGCAAGAACCAGCACGGTACGTGGGGGCTGTGTTAGGCTCTTGATTCTACAGACCCCCCATATGACAGAGGTGTACTGGAGGGGGTTCTTAATCAAAATGATCTAGCCCTTCTATGTGGCAGGGAGCTGGAACCCCTCCCAAGCCATGCCTTGACCGGCTCCCAAGCCCACTCGGGGGTGAGGTGCAGCTCACCCGGCTCACCCCCGTCCCGACAGGAAAGTGGTCTTCCAACAAGAACATGCCATGCACGTAGCCCATGTGATGCGTGCAAAGCGTCAAGCAGCACAGTCACCCAGGTTGGATCCTCTTTGATGATGTTCCCCGTTCTCCCTCATGTGTGGCAGTCTGAGCCTCAAAGTAAAGACCTTTGGGCCCGGTCGAAGCTTTTGTGATCTGATCTCCCCTTCTCCTGCCTGCGGCCGCCTCCAACGACAGCTTGCCTCGCGCCCAGCACAAGACGAGCTCGCGCAGAGGCGCGCATGGAAGGCGCATTGGAAAAGCGCACCGCAACTGAGGAGAAAGTCCGAAAGTCCCTTCTACTCGAAGTCACTTGAAACATGTGCGTCAGGGGTTCAATCCGCACCACCAAGTAAAGACTGGAAAAAATTCGGCCATCCCACCACCTTATCTGTTCTGTTTTGACTTGAAAAACCTCTTCATTAGGGGCGGCATTATCAATCAAGAGTCTACAGTCGATGTCCAAAACCTTCTTGCAACCGGAGGTATGTTGTCTTCCAGCTCACGGGGCTCCTCTGCTTGACACACAAAAGGTTCTCCAGCTCCAAACAAAACACCGCACGGCGTGCAGTTCATCTGAACCAGTGACATTCACGACCCATCACCCTGCGCCAGCGCCGCATGGGGGTTGCCCTATTCACATGGAGTGTCAGTTGAAGACTATATACTTGGGTTGGTTGCAGGTGTAGACAGTGTAGGCAGTGTAGGCAGAGCTACCAGCAAAACTGCAGGAGTTGATCATCACTGCTGGGATGGCATACAACTCCTATACATGTCCATGATTCTTGAAGGTTCCCCTTCAAGTCCATGCTTTCATGGGCCAACCAAGACAGGCCCGGCCCAGGTTCGCTTCGTCCTTGTTCCCAGCCACGGCCAGGCGTCCGGTCCAATCGTCCTCGCCTTCGGGACCGCTGAAGAGTTGATGCAAGCCGCCCATCTGATTTCGCACCTGGCAGCGTCATGCACCAACAACCACGCACCTGCTTCATGCCCAAGCCAACCTGGGTTTTGTAAGTGTGCTTCAAGCAGTGATCGCACCCAAATCTCACTCTTTTTCGAGACTCTTGGAGAACTTGTGGCCCCGTCTTCTCCTCACAACCATCTGCTTGGCCTCCTGGGGACTAAACAAAGCAAAAAGACAGCTATATGGACCCCCATATAAACTCATCTAAAGGACATCTTGAGGTCTGTGCCATCTACTCTGAAACCACAGTATATAATTAAAAAGTAAAAATAAACTCCAGACCCCCACGGCGGTCAGTGGCGCCGGCGGTCCGCCGCGGTCAGACCGCGCTGACGGCGCTCCCGGACCTTCTCCACCAGCCCATCGAAGTCGCGATGATCGTCCCACCTCGCCGGCGCCCGGCCGGGGCCGGCGGTGGGGTTCGGAGACATGGGTTCCGTCGCACGGCGCGTGGTTTTCGTCGGTGACGACGTCTGGCCATGGGTTTCGGGCAGACGCTTGGAGTGAGCTTGAAGGTATTCGCCCACGTTTGACCTTCAAGAAGGCTTAGGGAGGACAGCTGAGCCAACCCCTCATGACTTCTCGATCCGACCCTCCTTCCAGCGCTCCTCTCAGCACCAAACCGCTGGGCGTCCGAACCACTTCTTTCGGAGGATTCGCACCTTGTCCTGCTGCTCCTTCAACTCCTTCCGCATCTGATGATACCTGGGCCGCGCCCAACATCCCCAAACCTCCCTTGGAGGATGGTGTGCGGAATCACCCCTTCCAAGGCTGGTGATGGCCTTTTGGCCGCTTTCCTCAGAGAAATAGCTCCTGTCTTGACCTGTCAGGATGCACCATGCGGCCATCCTCCGGTTCACGGATGCCGGGAGGCGTCCAAGAAGTGAATGTGCCGGATGCCCACATGTGCGGCCACTGGCTGCTTGAATGCCCACATGACTGAGTCGACTGCATTCGGTGCATTCACTGCAGAGTCTGGGCTTTGGAAGCCAGGCGCCGGGTGCCCGTGCGCAGGTGGTGCCTTCACCTCCTCCTCATGGTGCACACCCAAAATCTGTCGCACCTGGCCGAGTTCTGCAAACAAACCATTCACCTTTTTTTAAGGAGTGATCCATAAGAAGATCCACAAGTACCAAGAGAGGTGATATAAGTGACCCTGGACCATAGAACCCGGAACACCTGGGGGTACCGAGGTGTTCCGGAACGTTGTTCACGTTCGGGTCCTGAAAAACCTCCGGTACATCCACAAGAAGAAGAAGGATGGTCTGTTGGACACCTGTCATATGGCCCTTCATAGAAGTTCTCGCCTGAAATCGATCAAACCCCACTTGGCTCAGCCATCGCCCGTTCCAAGGGCTCGCACGGATGCCACCACCGCATCTGCATCACCGCCTGGCCGGAATTGGCGGGTCGGTCTGATTGAATATATTGTACAGTATATATATATATATTATACTGACCGTATGTATATATATATATATACCTACCCTGTCAGAAGCCTTGGCTAAAATTTGTTTTCATGGACAACCCCCCGCGGTTGTAAGACCCTTCTTCCATTTCAACTCACACATACACAAGGTCACCACAAAAAATCAGGATGACAATGTGCTGCCTGCAGCATCTCAACATCTCATGTTCA